GGATTAGCTTCGCAATCCTGGTTAGCACGCACCCCAGGAGAGGTCAGGAAAGTAGCGTGATCGGCATCTGTATACCATTTTTTGGTATGATGATGATCATGGGAATTCAATGTTTGCATTGCATTGCCGCCTCTTGAGAAGACCTTCGGTGGACCTGCACCAGAGGAGCGAAGGTGGGGACTCAAGATGGATATTGCCCATGGACAGTGCAGTCAGACTCTCCTTCCATTGGCCGTAGTGCAGAGAGTACTTGGAGCTGAGGGAGCGCTCGGCTCTGTGTGTGCGTGGTGGTCCACCCGTCAGTAATGCAGAGGGTACGTGGAGCTGAAGTGAGCGCTCGGTGTCCATGATGGTTTACCCATTACAGTCGGATGCGCCGCTCACATTAATTTGGATGGAGTTGGGAAGGCAGTGCCCCAACACCACGTGCAAGAACCACACCAATTTTGTGTACGGTAGCAAGGCCCTGATGGTTGATGGAATTGTGTTATGTTTCTGCGCCTTTTGTTCCTGCGCCAATGACTTGGGTATCTTACATATGTTTGGTTCGACGTCGGTGGTCTGATCTGAATTGTCAATGCATGTTGCACTCATGGCTATTACATGTTAGTGGTGATACATTCCCGAAGCACGCTGGGCATCATTTCGTCACCTCCGCCACTAGGCGCACGTTGCTGCAAGTGCAGCTTGGTGCATATCGCTAGTGAGATCGATTGCTAAGGCCTTACGGCCGGTGCCGCCGACCCTGAAGACGACGACGAATACGAGGAGGAGGAGGAGGAGGAGGAGGAGGAGGAGGAGGGATATTTAGGCGGAAGGAGATGTTCCCCATGTGGGCCGAGGGAGTCGTAGCAGAGACAGACAGGGAGCCTTGTGGCATGCGGCCCTTCCCGCCACCGTGCTGGGGTTGTGGTTGAAAGGCCTCTTGGATGTTTTCGGGCCTGTTGGGGTCGCTGTTGGGCCTCTTGGGGGTCTCATGGGGGCCGTCTTGAGAGTGATCCTGGATGCTTCTGGGGGCGCCTTGCACGCTTCTAGACCCGTCTGGAAGCCGTGAAGGCGTCTTGGACATCGTTCGGCGATCCGGGGCACTCTTGGACCTTCTTGGGGGCCTCTTAGGGCACTCTTGGCGCGTTTTGGCGCTTTTTTTGAGGCTCTGGGACGCCCAGGGGCGGATGCGTATCTGATCCCCTCCCCCCGGGGACCCCTCCGGGATCCCCCCCCCTCGGCGGGAGAGGGATCAAATGGAAGGGGCTTCCCAGCTTCCCTGCGACTTAAGTGCGATGCTGCTACGGTTTTCTCTTGCTGGCAGGCTTGAAGAGGAGGCTGCAGGGAAAGGGGGCGACGGAGACGCAGGAAAAAAAGACAACGGTTGCGTCGACTGAGCGCGCGCCGCTTGGAGACTGGCGCTTCCTATGCTAGTTAAGCTTAGCGATAAGTACCTTGAGCAATTTCGCCGACTTACCGTTGCTACTTAGCTGTGCTTACCAAGTTACTTACTAAGTTACTTAGGGTGGCATGCGCAAGTTACTTAGAGGATAGTTATACTTACCACTAACTGTTTAAGAGGAGGGGGCCGGAGGAGCAGGCGCGCCGCGGCCGCGCGTCTGCGTCGGGCTGCGCGGCCCCGCAGGGCGGGAAGGGCCCTGCGGGCGCCGAAGACGAGAGGCGCGCCCGAGACTTCTCATGCGAACTCGTGGGCCCATGCCTGCCTGAAGAAGCCGCCGTCGTCGGTCACGTGCTCGCACTTCCACAGGGTATTCCTCCAACGCTTGTTCTCGGGATCCCACCGCCAATCGTAGTGCTGCCCCTTCCACTACTTGATGTAGCGCTTGCAGCTCGGGTCGTACCAACTCGTCGTCCCGAAGCCGTTCTTGGTCACGACGACCCCCTTTTTGCCGACGGGGGGGCTCAAGCGACGCGGCCGAAAATGGCATCTGGATGGCTTGGCGCTCACCGAAGGAGGCGCCGCGCGGGGTGGGCCGCCGTGGGCGCGCGCTCGAGGGTGACCGCTCCAGCCACGCTGATAGCGGACGAGGCGAGGGAGAGGGAGAGAAGGGGACGAAGGAAAAGGCGCGTGAGGGGCGGGGGGGGGGGCGGGGAGGGGCAGCGTGAGTTGCGAGAGAAGGGCGAGGCAGAGGGTGGGTGGGTGGGTGGGGGGGGCTGCTGGTGGGAGTGAGGCGCCGCGGGGATCTGAGTGGGACCGCGCCGTCCCTGGGGGGCTGCGATCTGCGACGCCGTCGCCACTTTCGGGGGCTGCTGGTGGGTCCTGCGGAGAGAGGCGCCGCGGGGATCTGAGCGGGACCTCGCCGTCCCTGGGGGGCTGCGATTTGCGACGCCGTCGCCATTTTCGAGGGCTGCTGGTGGGTCCTGTGACCGCGGTGATCTGAGCGGGACCTCGCCGTCCCTTGGGGGGGCTCTGGAGAGCTGCTGCAGGATACGTTAGGCGCATCGGGCGCATGGCACAGCCAACGGAGGTGATTTGTGAAACAGACCATCTGCCGAGTGATGGCCATAACGTTGCGCATGCACGTATCCCGCGGGGGCTCTCAAGAGTTGCTGCGGGATACGTTGGGTGCAACGGGCGCATGGCACAGCCAACGGGTGTGATTTGTTATTACGTAGCCCTTAGATCGTGGTCAGGGCCTGCGAGCCTTCCGATGGATGCTCGCAAAATCAAATGCGTCCATATACGTCATCGCCCCCGTTGTAGCAATCCTGATGTACTTATGTCCCGCAGTGCGCAAGGGTTGGGTACGTCGCCAGGGTAATACTTTCAAAATGCTGACCTCGCTGAAGCGCTGGCTCCATTTTCGGGCTACCGCTCGTTCCGAATCGTGCTCCCGCTGCAGCGTTGGCCTCATTTCCGCGCTTCCGCTCGTTCCGGATCGTGCTTCCGCTGCAGTGCTGGCGTCATCATTTCGAGCGCCCTGCCCCCGCATCGTTTTCGGTTCTTCTGAATAGGCCCTAAAATGTGGAAACTACTCTCCGAAAAAAACCAGCGGAAGTAATTACACATTCGGTGCCGATGTGTTGATTCGCTGGGCCGAAGAAGCCCCTCCCCTCCCCCACCTCGGAGCGCCGCTGCGCCATGCTATGTCATGCTACGCGTTGATATTCGACACCATGCTACGTCATGTAATGCTACGCCATGCTACAACATCCGATTGTACGAATAGAGAGGAGAGCTACGCCATGGTAAGGGATGGGAGGGAAAGGTAGGACGTCATATGTGACGCGAGCGCACTTCGCTTGTCCATGCCCCTCCCTGAGTCCTAAGGGCGTCCTCGGATGATCCTACGGGAGTCCAACACCAGAGTTTCTTAAATGTCTCCTTCCCTCCCTCGCGATACTCCCTCCTCGTCTTCCCCTCCCTTCGAGCGTAATCGCGCGCGCGAGGGGAGGGGGAGGGGGGGAGGAGTATAAGCGGATTGGGAGGAGGGGCCCACCTTCTCTACCAGCTCCCTTCCCCTCTCCTTTCCATTTCCCTGCCTCTCTCCCTCTCCCCCTTCTCGTCCCGTTGCCCCCCTCTGATGCCGGACTTGCCGCCTCCGCTCGGCGCCAGCCCGCGTGCACCATCTGCGGCATGCCCAACCCGAATTTGGAGGCGCGGGGGGAGGGTTTGGTTGCGGGGTGGCTCGCGAGGAGACTGAGGATGAGGAGGCTGAGGAGGAGGAGGAGGAGGAGGAGGAGGAGGAGGAGGAGGAGGATGTCATCTGCGGTTGAAGCCTGGTCGGCGTGAAGAGGGAGGAGGGGGGAGGGGGATGAGGAGAGGGGCGCCGCTTGCCATTTGCCTTGCACTGCCCCTGCCTCCCTGCTCTGCCTCGCGTAGCTCTTGCATCTGGTTTACTCTGCGGCTGTGCGCCGCTTGAAGGCGGCCTGCCGCTTTGCGGTTGTGCGTTGCGTTGGTCTTGCAGTGGTTTGTGCGTTGCATTACCTCGTGCTGGATGCAGCTGGTTTTGCAAGAATCGAAGCATGACGTGAACACCTTAGTTTGATGGGCCTGTTTTCCACCACCACCACCATAAATTGGAGGGGGAGGGTGTCCTCCTCCTCCTCCTCCTTCCCCTCCACCTCCTCCTCCTCCTCCCCTCCTCCTCCCCCTCCTCCCCCTCCTCCCCCTCTTCGTCCTCCCCCTCCTCGTCCTCCACCTCCTTCCCCCTTCAACTTATGGTGGCGGTGGTGGTGGAAACATGTTCATAGTTCTTCGGTGGTGCTCTTACAATCGCGTTTTGCAAACCTTTATCTGTTCCAGATCATTGGATATACACTTGTGTACAGTACAGCCCATACTTTTCCACGCAGCCTGCGCCACTCAAGTTGCGCCAATCCACTCGGTCATTTGAACGAAGCATTCGTACTTTAGTTTTGCGTACAGCTATTCCTGGAACGATACTACACCGAGTGTATTGCTTGACTTACGTGTTTCCATATGTTTGTGTATGTGTCGTATGTGTAGATTTACTTGTAGGTGTACGATTGTATAACACATCCAGTTGCCTGCGGCAGACCCCGCCACCGTGAATGTGCAACAGAGTAGCAGGAAGGAGGCTGAGCGCATGAGCATCGCAATTCCGACGAGTAGTCTGCATTGGGGCGGGCCGTGATGCCGACCTCGTCTTCGTCCGCGCGGTAGGGAGGAGGAGGAGGAGGAGGAGGAGGAGGAGGAGGGGGAGGAGGAGGAGGAGGAAGAGGAGGAAGATGGCAAGGAGGGGGAGGAGGAGAGGCAGAACACGAGGATGAGGAGTAGACGGCCTCTTGGGGCCCTCTTGGGGCCTCCTGTGGGCCTCCTGGGAGGTTCCTGCAAGCTTTGTCGCGGCTTACTGGGGGCCTCATGGGGCCTCTTGGCTTGGGCCGTCTTAGGGGATTCTTGGCCCGTCTGACGCCATGGAGGCCACCTTGGGGGCCTGTCTAGACCGTGTTGGTGCCCCCTTTGAGCGGTTCATGGTCGTCTTGGGACCACCTTGGGAGTCCCTTGGGCGACCTTTGGACCCTTTTCGGCTGACTTGAGGTCCTCTTGGGGTGTTTTGTAGCTATCTTCGAGGCCTCCTGGATGCTTCTTGGGCCGTTTGGGGCGGTCGGAAACCCGAACATGCGAGAACCTCAACACCTTCCAACCATTTGAGGACAATCAATGGGTTTGGCTTCCTCGGGCTCTCCAGGGCCTCTTGGAGCCCTTGGGCTTCCTTGGGCCGTCTGGGGGGTATCCTTGAACTGTCTTGAAGCTGTCTTGGGAGCCGCTTGAGCCGTCTTGAGCCATCTTGGGCCATCGTGGCCTCATCTTGGCTGCCTTGAAAGCCGTCCCTGAGGCCATGAGGTTACAAAGAAGGCCTCTGGACAGATCAATGGGCTCCCACGGCGGCCCAATAGGTCTCCAAGATGCCTTCCAGGAGAGCCCGAGGAGGCCACAACCATTGATTTGTCTTAGGCTTCAAACGGATTTCGATGCTCTGGCATGTTAGGATGCCCGACCGCCCAAGACAACCCCTAAGGCCTCTCTGGGACGTCTTGGAGCGCTGAAAGGCTGTCTTGGGGCCCTCTCTGGAGCCCCTTGGGCAATCTGTGGGTCCTCTTGGCCACACTTGAGGCCCTCTTTGGGGTCTCTTGGGCCGTCTTGGAGCTATCCCAGAGGCCTCTTGGAGGCCTCTTGGGCAACCTTGAGCGGTCGGAAACCCGAACAGGCGAGAACCTCAAGATCTTCCAACAATCTGAGGACAATCATGTGGTTTTGGCCCCCTCAGGCTCTCCTGGAAGGCCCCTTGGAGCTCTCTTAGGCCGTGCTGGGGGCCTCTTGGACCGTCTTTAGGCCCTCTTGGGAGCCTCTCAGGCCGTCGTATGAGGATGTCTTGAAAGGCTCTTGAGCTATCTTGGGCCATCATGAGCCGTGTTGGTGTCGTCATGGCTGTCTTGTCTTGGAAGCCGTCTTAGCCCATCCTGGCCGTCTGGAGGCCGAATAGAGCGCCGGGGAGCAGTCAGGGGGGTGCGATGTTTTTTAACCTCGCGCGCGATGCCGGGGGGGATCGGCCCCACAGCAACAATGTAAAACCACTCCCAGAGGGGCCACGGGAGCACTTTAAACAGCCCTACTCCGTGCGGTCACGGTGGCGGATACATTTACATATCCACATGTATCCAGGAAGAGAAAGAGAGAGAAAGAGAGAGAGAGAGAGAGAGAGAGAGAAAGAGCGAGAGAGAGAGAGGGCGAGAGAGAGGGACGACCCCGATAATCATATCAGGAACTTGTATCCGTGATACGATTTCTTCCTTCACGGCTGAATCGATTGCTCCAGATGGGGCGGGCGAGGCTGTGAGGAAACTCGCGCTCGAAATGGGCAGCCGGCCGTCCAACATGTTACCTAGGCCCGAGAACGAGGGAACGGAAGAGAGGGAGAGCGAAAGAGCCCAACTACATAATTGATTTACCCTAAATTTGATTCTCCCGCCGAGTCTACGGAGCGTACGTAGAATGTCCCGCAGATCGACGAACATTCTACGCGTTTCTTGAATCTATCGGCACAGGAAAGCTGGGATGCATCGCTGACATGGCCGATGCATCGCCGATGCATCGCCGATACATCGGCGATGCATTGGCGATGCGGTGCGATCCTTCGACCCCATCTACTCGGACCCCATTCAGGAGGCCTCTAATGGAGGTTTCTGGATGCCTCCAGAGACCTATGGAGGCCAGTAGAGGCCTGCAAAGCGCCCAAAGCGGGCAACCACACATTTGACATGCACAGCGTTTTTCTAACCTCGATCCGCTATCCTCGACTTTCGCTCCCCCGCCCGCCCTCCCCACTCCGCACTCCCTTCCACCTTCTGCTCATCCCTGACGGTGCGCATGTGCGTTCCCGCCCCTTTCGCGTGTTGTTTCCCCACACAGGATTCAATCATTTGGTCTTGCATACGTGTTTTTAGAAGCGGAACTTCCTTGGTCCTTCAAATGGCGTTTCCGCTGCAGCGTTGGTAACATTTCAGGACCGGCGCTTAGTTCCCGTCGCTTAGAACGGCGCTATCGCCCCAGCGCGGGGAAACAAATCTGGATTCGATTTGTCCCTCGTCGCCGCCGTCCCCCTTGTTTCCCTTCCTCCGCGTTCCCATCGTCCTTTGGCTCCTCACATTCCTCCTACTCCTGCTCATCCGCTTTCCCCTCCCTCTCCACTCATGTACAAAGCCCGCCTTGCCGATTGTGCAGCACGCGATAAGTCACATCCTGCAGCCGCAATTTGGAGGCCCAGGTTTTTGGACACCCCCGTCGGCGGATTCCAACAGGACTCGGAGCCATGGGACGGGACCGGTGGGAGGGGTAGGCTGCCGGATGTGTCGCGAGCGCAGCCAGCGTGCCCCCTCCCCTCCCCCCCTCCCCCTCCTCCTCCCCCTCCTCGCCACCCCCTCTTTGGCGACGACGACAATCCTCGTTTCTTCCCCCCCCCCGCCCCCGCCCTGTGATCGAGGGGGGCGCCGCGGAGCGCGACCACTCCCGGACGCCGCGGGGGGACCACGGCGACCGCCGCCCAGAGGGGGGCTCGACGACGACCCCCGCCGCCGACGACGACGACGCTGATACCGCCGACGCCGACGCCGATGCCGACGCCGACACCGATGCCGACGCCGACGACGACGGCGATGGCGGCCCCGTCTCGCTCCGAGGCCTCCGATTGATGGGGGGAGGAGGAGGTCCGAGGATCGGGGAGCACCGAGGCTCTAGGTCCATGGGCGTCCTCGGGCCTCTGGCGGCCTCTGGGGGCGCCCCCGTGGCCACGCTTGGATCCGCCTCGAGCCTCTTCCAGAGCGCACCTCGGGACGGGTTCCTGGCCCGATGGTTCTGCAGCGACTCAGAGGAGAGGCTCGGCCTGGAGAGCCGCGTCTGGCCCCGCAGGCAGAGAGCTATCCGAGGGTCCCTGGTGGGGGTCGTTCGGAGGTCCTTGGTGCAGCTCCTCCAGTTGTCGGTGGTGCTGCTCCTGTAGGAGGGGGAGGAGGAGGAGGAGGAGGAGGAGGAAGAGGAGGAGGAGGAGGAGGAGGACCAGTGTAAACCCAAGAGTCATCAACGATGTTGGAATAAACCCTCCCTCCAAGCTCCCTCTTCACGGGCTCCTGCAGATACTCACTTCCATCGAGGGAATTGTCTCGTTGGAAGACAGCCGCTTGAAGACCCGGAAGCATGCCAAAACATTTTTTCTCGGGATTCTAACGCTACGTATCAACCTAATTGTTGCGTCTTGACGATCCTGAATTGCGCCAGAACGCCATTCCTAGGACTTCAACACAGCGAATCGACGTAACCGCTGCACCCGCATACTTCTGAATCTTTTCAAAACACAATTTCCAGTACGTTGGTGATGGGAACCCGTGAAACTCTTGCAAATGTTGTGAACGAATGTGGGCGGCGCTAAGGCGAGAGCCATATTTTGAAAATAATCCGCCTTCAATTCGTGAAGCTCCTAAAATTGTTTAAGCGAGTGCACCCCGCGCTACGGCGAAAGCCACATCTTGAAAACGGGTCGCCTTCACTCCGTGACAATCTTACAACGTTTCAGAACGAGTGCGAGCCGCAGTAAAACGAGAGCAACATTTTGAAAGCCACCCGCCGTCAACCCGTGAGACTCTTTATAACATTTAGAACGAATGCGCGCCGCGCCCATGCGCGAACCACATTTTGAAAACGACCGGCCCCCCATTTGTGAAGCTGTGGCCACTTTGTGAGCTTCAGAGTCAAAAGTGTTGAGGAAGTCTCAGGCGAAACGCCCGGCCCGCCCAGGGAGAAGTTGCTTCTACGGAAAAGGAATGGAGGGGGAGAGAGCCGCGTGCGCCAAGGAGGATTCCCGCGAGGTACAGGTCCAATGACCTCTTTGCAGGCGGCGGCCAGCGTGTCGCCCGCCATTCTGTCCCAAGGCGGCCGCGATAACGCACCGACTTCCACAACCTGAACCGTTGTTTTCGTTCCCTGCTTGGGCCCACAACCGCATCCACGACTACCAGTTCAAGGAAACCCGCTTGGCACAGGCGACTCCGCCGACGTCGTGTTGACGCCCGCGTCTTACTTTGACATCGCAAAGCGCAATATCCACCCCGAGCGCACCACAGCGCCAAGCAACCACCTCGACACCCACCTGCTCCAACCATGACTATGTCATGGAAGACAACAGCGAGCGGATCGGGATCGGCACAACCACCGTGGAAATCAGCATCGTTCCCCCCACGATCCAGAGCTACGACACCGAGGCCCCGCACATCAGCCATTGGTGCAGGACTCGAACGTTGGGAGAACCGCAACTGGACGGACCAGTGGGCCAACAACCACCACGACAAGTCCTGGAACCAGAACCGCAACGGGAAACGGAAACCACCAGGAAGGCAAGAGGAAACACGACCATCAGGACCCCGCCAGCCACAACCAGAAGGGCAATCACAAGAACAACGAAGGAAAGGGCAATTTCCACCTTGACAAGGAACAGACGCCCAAGAAAAAGGACGCCGGCCAGGACTACAACAACAACCGCGGCGACTATATCACCAACGCGATCAACAAAGTCATGCCCGTGAGGAAAGTCCTACGCCGTCAGGAGGCGCGATTGGGAGCTACCCCCAGACGACCACGCGCTGATGGGCGATTGGAAGAAAACCAAGCATGTGGAGGAGCGAAGCGAGGCAGCTACTATCGTCAATCACAGCCTAGCAGGACTACCTACGATCGACGCAATCACGCATCTTGTCTTCATCGAAGCGATGGCCCTCAATTGCACGCCGCTGGGCCAGCGGGCGAGGGATATCGACGGCGCCGAGAGAAACATGGAGGGCGATTGCGAGTATTCCAGGTTGAGCCAGCAACACATAACGGACAAAATCGAGAAGCTCATCACCCTCCGGCGCGATATCAGCGACGCCAGAGACGATTGCCACAGTGACGAAGGAGCTGCGGCGGACGAAGCAGATAAACCGCAGAGGAACATGCCACAAAGAAGAAACACGGGGACAAGTGAAACCGCAGACGGGCGAGGCGCCGGCGCCGTGCCCAGGAACCCGATGGAAGACAACCAGCGCATGGCCAACGACATTAACCCCGTTTCCCGGATAATAGAGAGTCGCCCCCCCTTAACTCCTGAATGGTTATTGCCCCCAGGTCAGTCATATTTGGTCGTGGAGAGGGGCGGCGAGGCCGAATTTGAGGATTATCACGGGGGGGGAGTTGCGAATCGACATTGTTATCTTCTCATGTCGACTAGAACCTCTCTTGCGCAGGCCAATTTTGATGCGAGATTCGAGGGCACCAGGGGCAGTTTTGTGTCAGGATCTAGTTGCGCGAGCGTCCAGGATCATTATCATCATCCACATCATCATCATCATCATCATCATCATCATCATCATCATCATCATCATCATCATCACCATCATCACCATCTTCATCGCCATCATCATCCGCTGGGAAACAACAGTTGTTGCCCCACCCAGACCCCGAAGCTTATTATCCCCAGGGGGTTATGATCAGGGGTATAGGGTTAAGAAACGCAAGGCCGGCGCCAGGGACGAGATCGACGACGTCAAAAGACCCCTCCGAGCAGCGGCAGATGGTGCGCGGAGGCGCGAACATGGTCAGCACCGCGAGTCGACTAAAGCCGAACAGTGCCGCGACAAGCTCCAGGGCGACATGGAGAGTTTCAAGCAGGCGACGGAAAATATGGCGGCGGCGCAGCGCGAGTACGCGCAGACCGTCGACGCGGAGGGGCTCGCGAGAGTGGAGGAGGGGGTGGGGGCCGTGGGGGGGTCGACAACACATGGGGCGCCAGCCGGGCGCGACAGGCGACGGCCCACTACCGAGAGAATTCCAGAACATGCCGACAGCAACCACGTGCGGGACAGCATGGGGAGGGATTTTCGGGGCGCAGGGGGGGTCGCAGGAGGAGGGCGAGGGCGCCCCGGCGCGACCCTCGAAGCCGAGGGCATCGTCGAGGCCAAGGCGTCCGATGCCGGAGTCAAAGAGCAGGACGACGTTGAAATACTGCGCCAGAACAGGGGGCGATGCAGAAGAAATAAGTCGACGAGCGAAGGAGGAACCGCTGGGTCCGAGCAGGCGCATGGAGGCCGCCCCCCACATGACCGGCGAGGAATGCCAGCAGAGACCTTCCAACGTCGAGCGCGACGTGCTCGGGAGGGGGGAGGGGCGCTGTGGGCGCCGAGCAGAATTGTTGACCCTTCGCGAATCCCCGCCAGCCCATCCAGAAAAGATGCCCAGAGGAATTGCCTCGATCAGGGAAGTGGGCAGCACGCAGAGGAATCCAGTCTGAGACATCTTGGGATATCCTGAGCCATCTTGGAGGTCATTTTGGGCCCCCCCGGCGCTCTTGGAGCCATCCAAATGAGCCCCCCCCCCCCCAAGAGGCCAACATGTGGCTCAAACCTTCGTAGAATCAATGATTTGGCATTCTCGCCGAGGGTTCTTGGAGCATCTTGGGCGCCTCTGGGGAGTCTCTTGGGGCCTCTTGGGGGTCTCTTGGGAGCCTCTTCGGGGCATCCTGGGCGCTTCTTGGGGCTTCCTGGCCACCTCCTGGGCCCTCTCGGGGCACCCATTGGGGGCCTTGGGGGCCATCTTTGGGCCGTCTTGGGTGAGATCGATCACGGGGGGGGGGGGGGGGCGGATTAGAGCCCCCCCAGGAGGCCAACATGGGGCCAAAACCTGAGCAACGCCCAGCACAGACGTTGGTTCGTGCACTGAGCGCAGCACCCACTCCGCGAATCGCCAGCGAACTGGCCTGGGTCCACGGGGAAGCCGTTTGCCGCTGGCCACCTCCGCTACACACACCATCGAGCTGGCAAGTACGCTGAGCAGGGAGGCTGGGTCGCCAGCCGCCAGCCTCGCATTGCGAGGTGCTCGCCGACTCAAAGCAAGCCCGATGCCACGAGCGCGCAACCCAGCGCCAGCACGCCAGACAGCAGCAGAAACCGCCTCGCAGCGGGGGCGCCAGCGCACGACCACTGACCCCAGGGAGACAGCAAAACACTCGGCCGCTGCAGGGGCGCGGTGGGAAATTGAAGAGCCGCCCGGCAATGCGTGCAGACCCCAGCCCCCGACTCGCAGGGGGGGGCCCAGTGCGATGTGTCGCCGCCGTATTTCAGCGCCACCCGCGCGTGTTTCGTTTTGTGCATTGTTCCCCTCTCCAGGGATAGCTTTGCAGCCGGCGGTGGGCTGGTTGCTGCGACTGACTATCCCCATCAAGCCTCCCCCTCCGCGTTTGTGGTGCAAGCTATCGCGTCTCTCCTGGGTGGCCCCATCTGTAACCGCGCCAGCTTCCCCCCCCCCGGGAACTGTCGGCGGGGTAAGGCTGAGGCCGGGGCCCGACGCGGAGCCCCCGAGCCGTGCTGACGGCTTGGCGCTGGGTAAGGCTCAGCCCCATGCGTGCTTTTGGCTGATGCGAGGCGCCGCGCGGAGGGCTACCCGCCGACGCGCGCCGAACTGCGCGTGCTTGTCTCAGCGGTCCGAGGCCGCCTACCGCTGGCCAGCCAGGACA